AAATATAAAAATTATATATAAATATATTCAAAATATAATAAATAACATATTAAAATTTCAAATAAAATTATTATATACATTTTTATGTAATAGTAAATTTAAGATGTGCAATACTTTTGTCCATATAGTGTATATCTATATAAGGCTTAACCTTCTGAAAGACATATATATAACAATATAATAAATATAAACATAATAAAATAAATAGAAAAAAAATAGTAAATAAAACTTCTTATATGTTAAATAAATATATCTGTAATTTCTTGTTAATTACATATGGTAATATTAAGATAAATACTATTAGTAATACTATTTACCTCTTGCAAAATCCATATGATTTAAGATAATCGATATCTCCAGTGATTATGACATATATTAAAAGTCATGTGACAGGTTAAAGATCCAAATTGTTATATTCTATAATAAAATTAGACTAACAGGTTAAATGATTTAAAATAATAATAGAACTTTTATTTTTTGAATTAGTCCTATCTGATATATAGATCTATATATAAAGTATAAGTTTATATATAACTATATTAGATTGTAATAAGTTAGAATTAATTTACAAACTATGTAAAAAGATCCTTAATATAACAAACTATAAACTGTATTTAATAAAATTTCGTATTTAATATCTATTAGTAACAAAAAAAAAATAAAAAAATAGAGTTTCAAAAAGTACTAAATCAGTACTAAAATAGTATCAAAATGGTACTGATCTATAATAAATTTAATATATGAATAAAAACTCATTATATAAATTTATAGTAAATTTAAATATCGAACTGATATTAAATAGATATTGAAATAGTACTATTAGAAGCCTTAAAAAAAGTCTTTAATACTAGTGTTAATAAAAAATATATAAATAAATAAAAATTTTATATAAGAAAAATAAATAAGTTTAAATAAAAAAAGCTAAAATAAAATTCAATTAATTTGTTTATAAATATAATAAAATTTTTTTAATTTAAATTTAATGTTTAATAAATTGTTAGGAAAAAAATTATTTTTTTAATAAAATAAAAAATAAAAAAGAATAATGTTATAAAAACTTTTTTTAGATTTTTAATTGTTTTATTAGATTTTTAAAAAAATTTTTTTTTTGAAAATTCAATTTGATTAATTAAAAGATATATTTTAAATTTTATTAATTAAATTTTTATAAGTTTAACTTTTTATAAACTTTTGTTTTTTAAAAATTAATTATTATAAAATTTATAAGTTATATTCAAAAAATTAAACAACTTGTTTATATATAAATAAGATTAATTTAAGATTTATATATCTTATAAAAAATATTTATTAATAATTTTTTTTTGATTTTTTTTATAATTATAATTATATATTTTAAATTGTATATTTTATAATAATTTAAATTTTTTTATTTTAATTTTAAATTTTAAATTTTTTTATGTTTTAAAAATTTTAGTAATTTGATTAGTTAATTAAAAAAATATTTATTGTTTTTAATTTAATACTAATAAATTATAATATTTTTATTTAATTTATATGGATTAAATAATAATATACAGTATATATACAGTATATATATATTGCATAAACATATATATAAATTGCTTTAATTAATATTATTTATAAAAAAATTATATTATATATTATATATACAGTTAGATTATATGCTATTGTTATTAATTTTTTTTTTAGTTAAAAAAAGTACATATTAAAGAAAATATAGTAGATTTGAATTTTTATTTCAAGAAAAAAAATCGGTTAAAGTATTGTTCACACTGAACACTGAACACTTCTAACTCTTCTACAATAAAACTATTGATATCCTTATCTACAATAAAACTATTGATATCCTTTTCTACAATAAAACTATTTCTATCTAGAATTCTATTGTCATAAGAATGCTGGCTACACGTTTCACATTTTCCATTAATTAACAAATCGCCATCTCCAAAATTTAAAATATCCTTATTATTAACATATATTCCATTAGACCCGCTGGACCGACCAATTTTTCGGTCTTTGGTAGTTTTAAAAGAAAATACAAAATGATCTTTGCTATTAATCCAGTGCTGATTGTTTCTAATGTTACTGTTAAATCCAGTACTAAACCCAGTATACTTTGGTTCTTCATTCGCTTTGTAATGCCACCCGGTTGCATTAAATCCACCAACTATGGTGTTTGAATTCTCTATCTTTATGACTGCAATCGCTTCTCCTTTGCCATTAACTTTTTCATGAAACGAATTAACATCAAATCCATCACGAGTTCCACGATAAATAAGAGTAAATAGAAATTGATTTTCTTCCACCTGTGCGTCATCTCTTTTAATCCAGTTAGTGATAACAGCCAAATGTTTTTTTGTAATAATTTTCGATCCGTCCATAAAAGATCCAATACGAGCAGGTAGTTTCTTTTGCTCTGGTTCCGTCCCGGCCATTAAGAAAGACATGACATCTTCAAAAAGTGGTTTTGGTATAATTTTCCGAAAAGGACGAACCTTATTAAAGAAATCTTTTGATGAAATATCATGGAATCT